ATGACCTCATTCCATTTTTAACTTTGATAACTAGTTCAATTATTATTGCCAATAACATTATTACCAGATTATACAATATAATAATAAATGTTAAAAAAGACAATAAAATATCATCATCATCACCAATACAAGAAAAATCAACAGTAATTAGCATCATAAGTATTGATGATGATGAAGATAGTAAAATTAAAGATAATATTAGTGAATTAATTAGGGAAAAAAGGATCATTTCAAGATATTCCGTCTAAAGAATTAATGTACCATACATATTATTAAATGTATTAAATTTTTTTAAAAATTAAAAATTATAGTAATATTAAAATTATTAAAATCGTTAATTTAACACCGATAAAATAATTAATTTCATTGATACTATGTAGAAAATCGAAAATTTGAAAATAATAATATCTATTTCTACTATCAATACCGTTACTACTAATTGATGGATTATATATAATATAATCCTGTACATCTATAATAAACATTTTACGGTGCACACAGCACATATCAAATGTGCAAAATTACTTATAATCGATAACATTATTAAAACGAAAGTATTATCGGTTTGCATTTTATCTTGTTACAGTGGAAATGGCTTACAGCGAACTTTTTTTAATCCCCTGGTTCACACTATAGTAAATTTTACTCATTACAGTGAACATAATAGTAAAATCTCTTTATTCGTTAGTACGAACATTGAAATTTTTTTTATATTGGATGCATGATAGAAATAAATCTCGTTACAGTGGAAATCATGTGAATTCAACACAGATTTTCATATTATTGGTTAATTTTCCTTTTTCTAAATTTAGTTAGACCACATATAATTTACGTCCATAATTTAATTTTACACTAAAATTCAATAGTAACACAGACTCGTATTTTACCTGATGACTAGGGATGGGGCGGTTCGGTTCGGTTCAGAACCACTCAGAACCGGTTCCCTAGTGGAACCGCCCCATCCCTACTGATGACCAAGATACTATTATGAGTGATATTGATGATGTTACTGAAATTGATGATGGTATTTTTGAATTACAAGAAAAGATTAATAAATTGAACCTAGAAAATTTATTGAGTGCAGAAACTTTCATCCGCATTGATGATGAAATACCAGTGGAAGAATTGACTGATGACCAAATTATAGAAGTAATAAGTCAAGAAACAGTAGCTGAAATCAACAATCCAGAAGAGGAGTAGGAAGAAGAAATAGCAGTTATTTCTAATATGGAAGCTCTTGATAGTATTGAAAAAATTATCAGATATTGTAAAAATCCACCTGATAATTTTAATATTAAAATGGAAGAACTAAAAGCTTTTAATTCTGTAAAAGAAAAAGTAAAAAGATTAATTTGAGAATCTACTTTAGATAGTTATATTAATATGTAAAAACTATTTATGTATAGTTTTTTTATTACTAAATAAAAATATTAATTAAAAAACTTTCATTATAGTGAACTTTACACAAATTTTATAATATGTTCACTATAAAGAGATCTCTCAGTACAGTGAACATTCGTTACAGTGAACAAAATCTCAGGAACCAAGGATTCACTGTAACGAGCTTTGACTGTACAAAGTTTATATGAAAAAGAAGTTTTCCAGCACCATAATTGATTGATATATGTGATGCAATATACATTCTTTTCAAAAAAAACATATAACATGTAAATAGGTGTTGATATTCATTAGCTCAATATATAACAAACTTGCATATATATTTTAAATATGACTAAACTACTTATAAAATATTGTTAAGGAAAAACCAAATAACAAAAATGATTACAAATGACAATTACAGTAATAGTATGTATATAATAAAATTGTTACATCAGGAAAATGGGTACAAATATTATGCATATATAATACACAATTGCAGGGATTAAGCATATAATATATGTACAATTTGCATACATAAAAAAATATGCGATTTGTACGCATATTATATGCTTAATCCCTGCAATTGCATATTATATATGCATAATATTTGTACCCATTTTCCTGATGTAAAGTTATTTTCAATTTGTTGATATTTATATTAGAGCTTTTACAAGCAATGCAAATACCCAAGTGATTATAACCATTTGGTTTATCAGGTAAAACATGAAAGTATTTTTTATATTGGTTACTTCCTTGGGGCATTGAAAGAGTAATAAATTGTATGTGATTACATTCTTTACAGTAATAAAATTATTTGAGAGGATTTTTTATCTTTTGTATGACAAAGTCCAAATAAAGTCTAGTCCAGTACAACAAGTCCAGTCCAGTCCAACAAGTCCAGTCCAATACCAATTAGACTGGTCCAATGTCAACTAAGCCACTTTTTTTACTGTGCTGATTGGACTGGCAATTTTGACAACACTGCTTTCCTCATGTGTGAATTCCTTTGTCCCCATATTCATCACAATAATTATTCAATACATTTGATGTTATAATTGACATAACAAACAATTGCATCACCCAAGTAGTAATGATATCAAGGCCATGCATAAATGAAACTTTTAATAATGTGTGTCTACCCAGATCTTGGGGGTTCACAAGAATAAATTATTTTTCCTGATTATCAATTATGGTTCCTTATGAATAATAAATCTGATGTTGATCACAGGTGTCAGATTTAATTAAAATTTCCTATTACAAACATGCAGTCAGGTGCTTTCGCACACTTCAGCACCATGGATTTTTTTTCCACAGTTGAAACGCCCCACATGTTGGAAGGCTTTGGACAAAACTTTCCCTTATCTTCCCTTCAGACCAGGCTTGGCTGTTACTATATGGGCATTGACCACTGATAGCTGGTGCTTGTGCGATGATTGCTTTGTGTTATCACCCTCTCTTACTAGAATAAAGTTGATTTAAATAACAAGTTCAGTTGGTCAAATAAAAATAAAGAGAAGCAGAAAATTTGGGAAAATGATTAATTTATAACATACCAAACAAAATCCAAACCATTTTTTTTTACAGCCTTCTCCTTGATGCCAGTGATCATAGTGACTATCACAATAGGAGTGGGCAGAATTGAACTACCACCTATATACTCGTAAGATACATGCTCTCATTGAGCTACACTCCTCTATCCTAGGGTGGGTTATATGGGCAAAGGCCCCCATTTAAAAAATAACAAGTTCAGTTGGTCAAATAAAAATTATTTAATTATATGTAACATACCTAAAGCTCCTCACAAGCCAAATAGCTTAGTAAGCTCACAAGCCAGCTTGCGAGCTGGCTCATGTAAAGCCTTAAACATACCAAACAAAATCTAAACCGTTTTATTTTACAGATTCCTCTTAACATCAAAGCCCAATGCAATTTCAGGGTCACCAACCCTGCTCTGGATTGTGACCTCCTGTGCTTGAAACGAGCTGCAGATTCTCTTAATATTCCTCCAGAGTTGCAACAGCTTGGTCTAGTGCTGTAAGGGAAGATTAGTGAAAATATCATTGACGATTGATACAGTCTCGGTAAACTTCCAGGGCCATGCGCCTCCCCCCTGGAATCTGGTTGCATAATCATATCCATAGGGCGAAGCAGGTCAGATTAGCCTTATGTACATGGAGGAACATGTGAGAATGACTGTAATGTGTTCAAGGCAGCGCGCGTGCTTCAACACTTGCCAATTTCCGATAATCAAATATTGCATATCAAATTGTTTCTTTTTCAACAGTCAATGCTGCCTTGACATCTTGTAATTATAATAATATAATATTAGTATTACTATTACAATTATGCAAAGCAAAATATTATCAATGAAAATCTTGTAATTACCCAGCAAGATCTGTTCCACATTTTGATTCCAATTAAAATATTTATAAGCTAAAATAAAATACATATCAATACAAATTAAAATAATAAATTATTCTTCCTGATTATCAATTGTAGTTCCTTATGAATAATAAATCTGATGTTGTTTGCAGGTGTCAGATTTAATTGAAATTTCCTATCACCAACACAAGTTTGGGTGCAATTAAGCACGCCTCATAACTGTAGATTTTTTTCCACAGGTAAGGGTACCCTCTGTTGGGAAGGCTTTGGACAAAACTTTTCCTTATCTTCCTCTCAGATCAGGCTTGCTTACTGTTACCATATGAGCATTGATCACTGATGAATATCAGTATTTGTATTAATATTTAACAGTTGATTATTTAAATGTCTATTTTGTTGAAAAAAATATGCATTGATGGTGTACATTTTCTGTGCTTAACATCCATGTGACCCTAAGTCTGGACTAAAGATCCCTTTCTATAAGTTTGGCTGCTATACTTCAAAAGCATCTCCTGTCTTGTCAGTGGCATGCCTACTCACTAACAACCCCACCCCCATTTAAATAACAAATTCAGTTGGTCAAATAAAAATTAAAGAGAAGCAGAAAATTTGGGGAAATGATTAATTTATAACATACCAAACAAAATCCAAACCATTTTATTTTACAGCTTTCTCCTTGATGCCAATGATCATGATGACTATCACAATAGGAGTGGCAAAATCAAACTGCCACCTTTATACTTGTGAGTTGCAACAGCTTGGTCACAGAGCCATCCTTACCCTAGAGGTGGGATTGTTGCAGGCAACTTTTCAGCTAACATGCCAGCAGCCTTCTCTGGTCTGGTGCTGTGAAAGAAGATTAGTGAAAAGTGTCATTGATGGTTGATGCAGCTTCAGTAAACTCCAGGGCCATGCGCCAACCCCCTGGAATTCTGTTTCATCATTGTATCATCGGACGGTGCAGGTCAGATTAGCCTTATGTACACAAGAGGAACATGTGAGAATGACTGTAAAGTGTTCAAGGCCTTCAACATCTCTAAATTTCTGATAATCAAATGTTGCATATCAAATTGTTTGTAATTATAATAATATAATATTAGTATTACTATTACAATTACACAAAGCAAAATATTATCAATGAAAATCTTGTAATTACCCAGCAAGATCTGTTCTGCGTTTTGAAAATATTTATAAGCTAAAATAAAATACATATCAATACAAATTAAAAAAAAGTACCTCTGGTTAGTTATTAACACATTTCTTTAGGAGACCCAAACCAAGCCAAACCTTGGACTCTGTCAAAAAATAAATTGTTTTTGTTTTTCCAAAAAAAAAAAAAAAAAAAAAATCAATCAATTTATGTCTGTCCTACCCAAAAAAAAACCAATAGGATAAATAATTAGTGTGTACACGTCAATCAAATCACAACTTTTTTTTAAAAAATTTTTTTAAAAATGTCATCAGGAAATAATAGAAGAAGTCAAGAAAATAGCTGAGGCGATTGCGTATAAGTGTTTTAAGAATGGTGGTGGCTATCGCCTGCCACTCATCATTATTCTAGTTTTTAAATAAAAATTCATTTGGGTGGATCTACAAACTGCCATACAAAAATATTCAAATGGAATCCTTGATGATGTTCCTAAACAAAGTATATTGATTTTTCTGATGATACTTGAAATATAGAGGTATCTGATCAGGATTCACTTGATATACTACTAAATGAATATGTATGCAAAATCCCAAATGATACAGCTAGAATTTAAGATTGGATCAGGTATGTGTCTAAAAATTTGTATATAGCATAATCCTTGTTTCAACAGGATAGCCAGTGATATGAGAGAATTTTTATTTAAAATCTGTCATACCAAAATTACTAAATGCATCTCAGCAGATTTTATATTGTGAAGCAAAATTTTTAAAAATACAAATTTAATTATAATCCATTGAAACAAGGGTTATGCTGTATGTTATCATTTCATTTAATTTTTTAGTGCAAAACCATTTAATTTTTTCAATTCATAAAATTCCAGCACAAAAGGAATTTTGAAGTTACCTAAATTTTGAAAAAGTAGCTAAACTATATGATATAAAAGCATCAACTATACAAGAACTTCCACAATTTGTTCCTGGTATTAAAAGGCATTTGTATTTATGATCAAATCATAGTTTTCAAGCACTAATAATTTCATTTTTCTATTGCAATATTAGGAAAAGACTCGTTAGAACCAGCCAATATCTGCAATGAGAGAATCAATCATTGTATTTCCGATTTAGAGGCAAGAAACATTTAATTGTTATTCATCAGGAGATTAATTTAGTGTAAACTTGCATAGATCTTACAATGCTGACATAATATCATGTAAATCTTACAGTGCTGACGTAAGTTTTACACTTTTTTATTATTAAACTTACAATTGACAAGTGCAAATTTTTTTTAT